CATCTCAGCTCACCCTCAGCCACGGTGCGGAGCTCCTCTCTGCGCTCTCACTGTCAACGGCTTTCTCCCTCGTGGCGGGCGTTGTAGCCGGCTCTCGCACCTGGTCTGACAATCCGTGAGGCTCTGGCTCCGTGGCGATCCTCAGCTCTATCACACTCCTAGGCGGTCGCAACGGGCTCTCCATCAACGGTGGGCTCGGTCTTACGCTCCACGCAGCGGGAGATGGTGGGCTGGGCACTGGGTCTGGCTGTGTTCTGGATCAGGGGAAGATGCTCTCCAGACACCGGATGATTGCCTCCCTCCAGCACAGTCCAGTGGTGTTTCGGAGGTCGACGGGGCGGTAGTTGTTGGCCCCGATCCAGAACAGGGAGTTCAGCGCAGCGTCATCGAACGCCGTTTAAACGGTGAGCTGGCTGAACTCCACAGCATACTCCAAGAGGGAAAGGTCCTTGAGGGCGAGGGAGGTAAACTTTACAGCGAGGGAATCCATGGGGCACACGGGGAAAACAGAAAACAAACACTGAAAAAACGCAAAAAATAAATGGAGGGGAACAACGCAAATAAACTATTTAGTCGGTGCTGTGTTCTGTCACAACTGCTACTGTGGAGGAACGAAGGAGCACGGAGACGAAGGAGTTGAAGGAAAACAGTCTTTAATTGTCTAAATTGGGGGAAAACACAGGGTAGCCAGGAGACTCACACACGTAGCATCGGGATAAGACGTTTAACACAGCACGCTAGACACAGGAAACATTGGGCTTAAGTACACGACTAAACGAGGGGATGACGAGACACACCTGGACTCAATGAAACAATAGGAACAGGAACAGGAAGGAAACCAAATATGGGCATGTCACACACGAGGGAAAACTAGGTCATGGAAGGCACATGGGGAAAAAACAGAACACAAACAGTCCATATTTCTGACATCATCGTGCATTCTCTGGGAATTAAACCTATGAACCTAGCGTTGCTAGTACCATGCTCTACCAATAGAGCTACAGCAACATTAAATTTGATAAGGACTTTATTCTATGTTTATTTAAATGTGTTCACTATGCCTTGATTTTTATTACCAGCTGTTTAGAAGAATTCCCCCCACTATTCTCGTATGGCTAAAATAAACAGAAAAGTTTGAAATATTTCCATCAATATGCAAATGATTCTGAAGCTTGAAATTAACTGTTATGCAAGGTACTAAATTATTCATAACTATATCTCTATGCTGAATCATGTCGCATTTAATTTATTCAGTCTAGCGAGTGCTTAATTATTGAATTCGTATATACGGGACCTCATGTATTTATAAACTTGTAGTCCATCCATCTTTTAGTGCTCTTAATTTCATCCAGGTGTCTGTTTGGACTGATGAGAAGTATTGATGACTGATGTTTAATTACTTAATAATTGAGTGGAGTTCAGTCAGCTGCACTCAGGGATGCTCTCATCTGCTGAACACAAACATCTCAGGCTCATCCAGCCAGATGGAGCTACAGTTAACACTCCAGATGTTGGGAGGTGAGGTGCACACAAGAATGGTTAGCAGTAGCATCTCTTAAATTGCATCGTTTTCCCCCCTCTGCCAGGTCTGCCAGTAAGTTAAAGTATAAAGTGTCGAAATGTATCTCTGGTGTAAATGTTTGTTCACAAAGTCAGCAGACTCCTGTCTGAGTGCCAGCTTATGATTATAATGCAAACCTGCAGTGCTAAAATCAAATCCAAGGAAATATCACATCCAGAATCATGATATTCAAACGATTTAGGTGCTTAAAAGGATTTAATTCACAGTATCTTAAGCATGAATAGACCATATACAATTAGCCAAGAATAAATTAAAGATTTTATGACAGCATTAAAATAAGATCTGATTTTAGACCATATCTTTTTAACTGAAACAGACTTAAGTACATAAAATATCTTAATTATGAATAATATCATTCAATTCAAAAAGTACATATTCAATCACACTGTGCCACTATGCAGTTACATTTATAGCTAGACTATCACTTGAATCCTGTTTTTCTGAAATATATTCATTACTAAAGCCATTTTGACGACAATTAACACACGAAGCTAAATATTTCTTTTGATTATTCATTATGTTCACCATTTGGGCATATTTACACTATTTAATGAGTAATCTCATAAAAGAACTTGAACACATGAAAATCAGGTTTACCTCAAACAGTTATTGCTGACCTGTTTAATGTGTTTCTTTTCAGTATTCATAATAATAATAACAATACATTTATTTTATATAGCGCCTTTAAAAGTTGCTTTCTCAAGGCGTTTTCCGAGAAAGCTTACATAAAAGAAAACACAACAATATAAGACAATATACTATA